TTTGTGTATGGGAGAATAATAAAATTAAGGTTTCCTACAGAAAAGCCCCGAGAAGATATGAATAATTTTTATAAAATTAACACCACAAGCAAAATTCTAATGCAGGAAAATTCTGATGAACCAACTATAAAAGTAGTTGCATTAACCTTGAACCCAACTGAATTATCGAGGCATGCATGCCAGTCAGCTTTCATGTCTTTCAAAGGAACTCGGTCATGAGGCCTATTGTGAAATGTACAAAAGCACCATTAGTTCAAAAGGATGACATATGCAGTAATAGGAAATAATTTCCTAAATTATAAAAAAGACAGCATACCTTTTTGGTCCTGAAACACAGGGTTCAACATCAGCCAGGTCCAACTGCAGATAAGATGTGTATACCCTTTGTTGTTGGGGCTGGATTCCAAAAACAGTCTCTTTGATGTCAGACTCAAGACAGACATCTGAATTCTGAAATTTACTTCCCTATCACTGAAAATTGCATTAATGATGAGGACATTACCTCATTATAATCAACAAACATCTTGTTTGCCCACAAATATGATTCTATCATTGCCACCTAATATACATAAAAGATGCATTATATGAATGAAAATAACTCTAAATCAGAACAAGATAGCCAAGTGCTGAACCTAACAGGACAAGGATGAAAAACATATGGAAACTGGAAAGATGAAAGAACTCACTGTCTCATCACTTCTACCCGTCAACTTAAGATACTGCAAGGTTACATGATCTACAGGGAAGAAGCCCATGGTTGCTCCATATTCAGGAGACATATTTGCAATGGTGGCTCGATCAGCCAATGATAACTCAGCCATGCCATCACCTACATCCACATAAAAAGACAAGCTAGAGCAATATACAGCAAATTGTGCAATATAGTTTTCCATTTACATTCATGATTATTAAGCTTACCATAAAATTCAACAAACTTGCCAACAACACCATGCTTCTTCAACATCTGTGTCACAGTCAAGACCAAATCAGTGGCTGTAACACCATTACGCAATTTCCCAGACAACTTGAACCCAACAACACCATGCAACACCATACTCATGGGTTGTCAAGTTTTCAAAAGTACAATATTAAAGGCAACACAATAAACCAAACTTTCCAACAAACAACTGCTGCTCAATATAGTAAGCTGCAACTTATAAATCTTTTTGAAGTACAGATTACTGGTTCAGAGAATGTACATAAAAAAATTAAAGAAAAAACCAACAGAGAGAGAGAGAGAGAGAGAGACCTGGCCCAACATTGCAGCTTCTGCCTCTATTCCACCAACTCCCCAACCAGCAACTCCCAACCCGTCTATCATAGTTGTGTGGAAATCAGTACCCACGACACTATCAGGGTAGAGAATGCCATCAGTGTTAAACACAACACGACCAAGATATTCAAGGTTAACCTACAAATTCATTTACAGACATACTCAATGGCCAAGCTTATAAAACAGATTGAAAGAGAAATGGTTCGGTATGCAATATTGAAAGATAAATGGTTCAGCATGCAATCACAACTAAGATACCACACCACCTATGACTTACATGTCTTCTTATTCCTTTCAAATTTAAATGACTTAAAAACTATGGAAAAGGGCAGATTCTATGCAAAATCTGCCATCAATTTCTTTACCTGATGGACAATTCCAGAACCAGGAGGAACAACAAGCATGTTATGGAAAGCAGATGAACCCCATTTTAGGAAAGCAAATCTCTCTTTGTTTCTCTGAAATTCAAGTTCCATGTTTGCCTGTACTGCATTCTCAGATCTTGCCACATCAACCTGAACTGAATGATCAATAACAAGGTCCACTGGAACCTGCACATGGTGGTCTTTTGTTAAGACATGCAGCTATATTTAGTAGCAATTATGCCAATATCAACCTATTCAACACAAAAAGTGTAAGGATAAAGGAAAATTTACAAACCAAGGATTGATCTTCTTAGGCTCACTGCCAAGATTCTTCATAGCATCCCGCATGCTAGCAAGGTCAACCACAGCTGGCACCCCAGTAAAATCCTAACAAATAAATGAAAAGCACCTTAGAATGTGCAACTTATATGCTTACCCAGCACTATAGTCACTCTCCTACAGACCTGTAAGAGAACACGAGCAGGCTTGAATGGTATCTCAACTAGCTTCGGTGATGTCTTCTCCCAATCTATAGTCTTTTCAACATCATCCTTAGTAACTTGGAAATTATCACAATTTCGTATGGCAGACTCCAAAAGGATCCTTATGGAGGATGGAAGCTGGTCTGTAATACATGACATAAAAAAAGTCAAAATGAACAACAAAATGATAAACACAATGAAGTACAGTGGTGCAACATGTAAAAGTGGATGTTGTAGAAATATTGTTCTGTTTTCTTGGAAATTCATAACTTGTTCTGATGCACAAAAGCTTCTACATTTGGAAAGGAAGAAATCAACAGTAAAATACCTATTCGTAGATCAGTCAGTGCAGGTAAGCTAAAGAACTTTCCAAACTCTCCACCCCCAGGCTTGGGAAGACTTGTCAATATATCTTTGAAAGCATGCTCTGAAGCTGAATGGATGAGACGAAAAATATAAGAATCACGACCGCAATACCTGACTGATAATTATATCTTAAATTGTCACAATCAACAAACACAAACAGAAACACTAGTAAAAAAAACTCCAATGTAGATAGAGAAAGAAAAGAATAAAGGAAAGAAAAAACATGGGGGAAGAAACTCAACAAAAATTGGGGTAATTCACACATGACACCATTATTTTCCATTTATTTTCTAGTTAATTCCATTCCAGCAACCCTTCTCTCATCACCTCCACTTCTAATATGCAAAATTTTCCCATTTTTTTTTAAAGCTTCAAACTTTTTATTGGGCTGACAGATAAAAGGAAAAACTAATGAAAATACGTCATCACAACAGTTTTAATACACTTTCAGCTGCTAACGGGGCTCTTTCTAATTTATTCTCAACCAATGGTAAAACAGAGACAAAATAAAACCTTCAGGGTTCCGGTCAAAATCAACCAAGCTCACTCAAAGTACAAAAATTTCATTCCCATTTTCCCATCAACCATGCACTAAACGCTTCCCGCCATTTCCTCACAAACCAAACAGAAACATTCCCATTATTTATTACCCAAAAAAAAAAAAAAAAAAAAGACCTTGCAAGGAAAACCATTCAATCTAAAGGAAAAAATTACCGATCATAGCCATCCTTCTCTCAAATTTCTCGATCACCGGCCCAGCAATCCTGGCCTGCGCCCGGAGGCTCACCGGCGATCTCCAATCCACACCGTGGCTCCATCGTGGGACTGAACACCTCATCGATCGCAGCGCCGACGAGAAGCTCAAAGACCGACATTTCAGGCTCCGGAACCACACTGAAAAGGCGGGAGAGTCCTTGGAAAAAGAAGACGCCACCGACAACGTAGACGCAAATCTAGAGGCAATCAGAGCCCTAGAAGAAGAAGCTGGCATGTTCATGGCTACGGTTTGAATGGAATGGAATGGAAAGTGCTAGATTTCCAGTTGACGACAGCTTCACTGCCTTTGGCGCTTTACATGGCAGAACAATGTAAAGCTTTCTGTTGCGGTATATTTAATGGTTTCACGAAAAGGTTTCGGGGTTTTGTGTTGGCCGTTCGATGGAGAAATGAACGGTACAGATTAAGAGCGGGGACCCACTTTAACCTCCACGTACCGTTGCTTCCGTGATTATGTTTAAAATAAATAATGCCATCTAAATTTAAGTACAAAAAGTATTATATAATTTAAATTATATAATAGGTTAGTATTGGTCCCTTTTATTTTCAAAAAATTAAGGGAAAAAAAAAGATGAAAATCATTTTAATACATGTTTTAAAAATAAGATAATTTAATTTTTTTAATAAAAATTTATTAAAATAATATAATTTTGAAATAATTTTTTTCTTAATTTTTAAGAGGTAATAAGCACTATTTCTTATATAATATTAATATTTGTATTTATATGAGGTTTGAGAGGCTCATTATATATTTTTTATTTTATAATTCCACAAAATTTCAGTTGTAGAGCATAAGACTTTTTTAGTGATAATTGTGTGCTTTCTAGAACTAAGCAATCCACCATCTGCTCAGTTTAGTGGAGTTGTTTTTCTTTTTCTTCTTTCTTTGATTTTTAGAGCTTCCAACTTTTTTGTGCAAATTGTGCTTAACTTGCAAAATAATAATCAGTAAATAGAAACCATCTCTCCCCTCTTTTTTAATAATTTTTTTGGTATATTTAATAACAATGAGTTATATAAAAGTAAAAAACTCTCTTCATTATGTTTAAAATTTAAAATTTAAATTTAAAATTTAAAATTTAAAATTTTTAACCATTAAACCATCTTTCAAAGGTTACCTCTTTTTAATAATTCAGTTTTATATGACTGCTGCAACCACAAAACACATTTTATGTTTCTTTAAAAAAAAAACAGGCAATTTGGGAGGAAGGGGAGCGGAACTAAAACTCCCAATCCAAGGTAACCCTAAGCTTTGAGGTTCATTATGGCTGTCTCTAGTTGAGTAGTTTCAGAATAACTATAAGTAGCTGAACTTTACTCACCAGGAGTGAATGAGTTAACATGAGACTCTTTTAATTTAACCAAAGGTTTTGATTTCAAACCTTAGGAATGCAACTCCGTTCAAAACTTGTGACAAAGAACTTTGTCGTTTGTTAGATCCTGTCCTACTCAAATCCGAATTAATCAGTGGTCCAATGAGTTTTCGGATACCAGATGGTCCATACCAAAAAAAAAAAATTTTAAGTAGCTGAACTCTAATCGAATCTGGTAAATATACATTATCTTATGAATGCATCCTTAAAATAGAATTAGTGGAAGTATACACCTTTGTAGACAAGAAATAATTCATACACCAATCGTAATCTTTCCCGCAGGACATCATGGTATGCATTTGCCCTGTATTTATAGCTTAATGATAATTTTTTTTCAATGAGAAATATAAGATTAGAAGTTTAAGTGAAATGAATTATAAAATAAAAGTGTTACTTTTTAGTCTGCAACCCAATTAAAAAAAAAAAAATCTTTTTTTCTAATCATGCATGTATCAGAATATGTCTGCAAACATATCCATGCACCTGAAACTCACATGGCCATGCACATACACATAAAACATGCAGTGACATAAAGAACAAATTAATTTCATAAAAAAAAAAATGCTCTTAGCCGTAAAAAAGATAGAGATAAATCAAGGACATACATTTGGAAGATCACAGATTCAAATTTCCCTCAATTTTATATGCTGAAAAATAAATCCTCTCACCATAAATGAAATAAGTCAATGAAGGGAAGCTTATACAATGTATGTCCATGCTTCCAAACTTTTGCAACTAACAAAAGAATTCTCAATCATGTTTCCAAAACATTCTACCAAGTTCTGAAGGTGGTAGAACTCATACTATATAGTGCATAAAGGTTTAAGATGTTATCTCAATGGACTCCAAGTGATCTAAGAAAATAGTTGCAAAACAGCATAAATTTTCTAAAGACTGTTATTCTTGTGTGTTGTAAGCTTGTAACAAAGGATTTCACCAGATAATGTGGTTGTTTAACAGTTGGAGAGCTTGTCATATGGATTGAAGTGACAAACCATGAACAAATAGGGAAAGGCCATTAAATGGATTGGGGTGAATTCTGTTGACATGCTTGGATTGTCATGTTGGCGGTTGCCATGTTCCTGGCTTGTAAGATGCACCAGATCCTGTTGGCTCTGTAGACCTGAAAATAAGTTTTCATTATGTAGAAACATTTCTTTAGCTGAGAGATTGTGTCATTGAAAAGAGTAACATCTTGTTTGTTAGATAAATGGCAGATAAAAGAAGTCACTTAAAAACTTTCTACATTTTGCTAAGTTCATGTTAGTCTGTTTTATGGATGCTAAATCCTGAAATGGGTAAAGCTTACACTGGCAGTGGTTTTTCTTCATCAGCTTCTTTCTCTTTTGGCCTGCATAGAGAATAAGTTTCACTGTTATGTTTCATCCATAACATAAATCATTATTGACAATAAAAGTTTACCAGACTAAATTATTTAATGCTCAATTGTTCTGGTTTATATCAAGCAGTTCTCAGTCTAACACCACCATCAACACAAGGTGAATATATCACAAATTTTCATTTGATAGCTCTCCATGAAACAATAAGAAATTACAGAAAAATAAAAACTTGAAGAAGCAAAAGAGAAAACCAACCTAGGGGCAGTACCTAGGCCTATAGCTTTAATTAGTGTTGAACTAGACAATCTGTTTTGTTAACAAAAGAGTAAGGTTGTGATACCCACAGCCAAAAAAAGCAAAGGGTTGTGATAACCCACCTTGCATCGGATGCCTGGTCAAGTTTGTCACCTGGAAGAACAGATACCATAATGTGAACATCAAGATCACCAAAGTGGTAAAGCCTCAAGAAATTATATTGATTACACATCTTAGGATAAACAACATTCAACAGCGCAAGGAAGAAGCCCTAAAAAAAAGTGTAAGGAAAAACACGGAAAAAAAACATACATATACTACTACAGTCAGTTGCATATTCGATTTAAATCCTAAGGATACAAACAAATAAGTTACCTGATGTCCAACAATGAGAACAAGATGTTAGAGCAAAAGATCATCATCATGATTGTGAAACTATGCTCTAGGAATATAGAAGCATGGCAAGTCTCCATGCTGAAAGCATATGCAATGGCAGGTTGTTATGGATTAAAGTTTTTAACCATAATTAGGTGCATGAATCTTCATGTTTACAAAGAAAATAGTAGGTAAAACATTCTATAGAAGCTTTGTTGATTTCTTTCACATAATCTAATACAAAGCCATAAAAGATAACTATGAAAATTGCAATACATCACTGAAAGAATCAAAGAAAAAGATCACCTTCCGATGCAGATGGAAATTGCCGCATGAAACTTTTCAAGTCTAGACCTACAACTTTACCTACAGAAAGAGAGTATTAACAAATGCATGCACCATGCAGTTAAAAACAAAAGCAAAAGAAGGCAAGATATTTCAGTTAGCAACCCACCAGAGCTCACGACTTTCCGGGTAGTGCCTTCCTTGGCTCTCCTTTCCTCTTCTTCTTTCTTTAGAACTATGCAAAACCGAAAGATGTCTTAAGATCTTTATATAGACAAAAGTAAAATAAAAGCAAGAAGTCAAAATGCTGAATGAAAAATGGCATGACTGTCAAGTTTATAGAATGAGCAACATGGAGAAGCAGGATGGGCACAGGTTACTAAATTTTCTATGACCCTAATTCCAATATGAAAGGCTTCTTTTGAGACAAGAAATATTTCTAGCCTAAACATCAAGACTTTACTGAGAGTAAGTGGCATTCTCACAAGAAGAGTGCAATACATCACAATGCTATGCTACCCTGGAAATCCATCAGCAAGAAAGGCATTAACTTTGACTCTTTAAGGTTTGAAGGCAACATTTTGGTACCTTTAGTTACCATTCTAGATCCCGCTCAATACCTCTACTTCATAAATTAAGCTTTAATTTCAGCTAAGATAATTTAAATTAGTGAGAAAACATAATACAAGTGACATCATTTATCAGAAAACACATAAACAAAAATGAAAATAAATAAATAAATAAATGCCATACGAGCAACATTAAGCCTAACACGTTCACGTCTTGCTTCAAGTTCCAGCATTTCCTGAAAAAGAAAATTTATGTTGTCAACAAGAAAGCTTAAAACTGTTGTTCAATCAGGGCATCTTACTAGAAACACTAGTACCTAAAAGTAAAAGATTCAAAGATGTTTCTTAAAATGATTCATCCATTGAGAAAGCTTTTTGAAAGGTACAGAGAAGCTCTGCTAGGAACATGAGATGTGAAACAACATAGATTCCCCTTTTTCTTTTTCCTTTTTGGATTTACCTCAGGAGTAGGAGCTTTCTTCCGCTGACCATTCAACCAACATATCCATTCAACTACAGTAATAAAATATTATATGAACATTAGGGGAAAAAACCATGTAATATGCTCAGTCCTTTTATATTCACTTCTGTTTATTGCCATAATATGGTTTAACAAGTTAGTTATTAACTTCAACAGAGTGGAACTTGAAGGAACCTGTGTCTGACTTAAATTGCATACCTGGAACGGAGGTTGGATCGTGCTCTCCCTTGAATACCACCCATCTCTTCTCCTTCACTAAGCAAATTAAGAAAACTATGGAGTTAGATAACCTAAGAAGACTAGTACTTCATGGTTATAAGTTATAACTTAGAGGTCTTTCTTTTATGCCAGCCCCATTAAGGCTCAAAGCCACTCCATAAGTGCCAATGAAACGATTTAAAATCAATCATGATGACTTGATGAGTAACCTGGACCAAAAGAGTATCATAATCTTAACATTTTCATTAACAATAAACATGAACATTTTAGCTCAACTTATAAAAATAGTCCTTTCCAAAATTTGATTAAAATTCTGCTCTGTTTTGATTATGCAAAATTGGATATTCATGCAATGTGAAAAAAACAAAAAGAAAAATTTTTATGTCTCCCATTTTATTAGAAACAACAGAAATGTAAAGTAATCAAATTGGCTGCAGAATACTGGAATACTAGTCACAGGAGAGAATTCAGATATCAAGCAAGTAATGCAGCTGTTTCGGAGCCCCTTCTCTAAAGAAGACAAAAGCAACATGGGGGAATGCAAAAACCATAAACAGAATCCAGAAATGAAAGACAATACATTTCCTGTAAACTATCAAGTAAATTGCAAACACAGTATGCATGATAAATTCCCCAAACGCTAAAAATTCAATTTTTGAAACAAAAATAGAAGAAAAGCAATAAAAGGAATAAGACCCACTTACTGATCCCATCGATCTCCTCTTTCCTGGTAAAGTATCTGTTCCCTGCTTTGTCTACGCCCGCAAGGCTCTTGTTGCCGAAGAACGCAGTAATTCTTGCAAACAGCTTTGACATTTCTGCATCAGTGGTATATTCTTCCTCGCAGACTCAATCAAAGGCTTGTCATCATCTATGTTGTAGATACAGCTCAAAGGGGTATAGCGTTTTTCATTCCGGAGATATGGATTCTTTGATTCTGTGCAAGGCTAATTGGTGCTGTAAGCGCACACAGACGAAGGTAGGCGCCTTTGTTTGTCTCGAGAGAAATCCCTATTCTACCTTTGTTCTTAGGAGGTGTTTGGCACTCGGCTCTAACAATTACCAAAAGAATTTTTTTTTTTTTTAAAAGGACAAATTTTCAGATCAGCTCTTGTAGTTATGAGCATTGTTTAATTGAACCATCCATCTTTTAATGGGTTCCATTAAATCCTCACATTTTGTATTTATCTCAATATTAATTCAGCCAAAAAGATTCAGATTTTAGTAGTAATTTAAGTAAATCCCAAACCAGCT